AACATTTAAGTGTGACAAACATGCAAAAAAATAAGAAATCAGGAAGGAGGCAAACACTTTCACACAACTGTATATGCTGACAGTGTCATTGTATGAAAGTCCTTCTGCTTTCAAGAAAAGACTACTTACATGAAAAGAAAACGTGTAAGCATTAGTTATTTCATCCCTTAAAACAAACGACCAATGCTGTTATCTTTGTGGTGAGGATAGTTTGAGGTTGCAAGTACACGCCATCGCTCAACCTCAATATTAACCTCCTTTTCCCAGTGGGTCAATTGATTTTAACTGGTGATCTTCTTTTAGTTGGTGCTAACATGACAGCGTAAACACAATCCATCACTTTTTTTGGTTTAAATATGGCTCCAACTCTACAGTCAGAGTGCTGAGTCAGACTAAGTGTCTCGGTGAACAGTCAACTGTTTACTGCTACTGTCTGACTGTGTTTATGTGCATGTGTCTATGTTTGTGTTCGTGTGTCTGAATGGATGTTAGGTGGCTTTTTTCTGTGGTTTAGGGGTGTGTATGTGTGTGTGTGTGTGTGAGTGAAGAAGTGTTGTTACTTTATGTGGGTAAATTCTTAAGCCCATCACATGCCTTGTGTGTATTTTGTTGAGCTACCGTGATCGTGTGTACTGTGCTGGAAAACTCATTTTTGAGGTAGCTAGAAGTTTTTTTAGTTGGAATTTATGTAATACAAAATAAACAGACACATACACATATACTGCACTATATATGAACACAGCAAACCTTTCCGACTTTTAAAGTAACAGATTGGCATTTGGGAAATACGCTTTTTCGCTTTCGTGCAAATATCCGTTATGAATAACGTTACAACCAGGAGACACTTAAACAGCATAAAGACTGAAAACAGCTAGGGGTAAAAAATAGAGCATAACTCACTCCACTTATTAAAAAAATAACTAGTTTAATCCACGGAAAAAAGTTAAAATGACAAGCTGTAGTTCTATGGGGGGGGGGGGTAAAGAGCTGAATTATTTATTGGTCAGGTGAAGTGACTTATTGTTATCACTGTGAGGTTACCAAGCAAGTAGTTGGGGGGAAAAACCTTTGTTTCTTAAGCACTAGTTTGCATAACGTTGGTTTTCAAAACAGTGAATTGTTTGCATTGCAGTCTAAACCAAATGGCAGCAATTAAGCTGAGTAAGTTGGTAAAATAAGTGTTCTGAGACGAAAGGGAGGGCACAGAGCACAGGACGTCCATGCTATCCACCACCATACTGCCACCGTACTGTTACTACGGTTCCAGACCTCTGAATCGTCGTCCACATCTCAGAGTAGTACAAATCACTACCGTGGTGACAAGGATCTGATCTATCACTGGCTTCCCACCTGAGAACCCTGAAGACGACTTGGCCGAAAAAGAAAAAACCTGCCAGAGATTGAATCCGTGTGGTTTTGTCCGAGTCATCATCCTTGTGTCATGAAGAGACTTCTAATAAAGAGTAATTATGTAATATAAGGCAGTGTAGTGTAGATACATATTTGATTCTGCTTAACAGCATACACTTAAGCATCCCGCAATACTTTTTGTTTGTGTACATGTGTGTACTTGTGCAGCAAATGTGCTAATTAGCAGCATTACAGTGTAAAAAGTGTAAAAAAGTCTGATCCAACAGTGAAACGGCTAATATGAGGGTAACTGACTGTGAAGAAAAAAGATTTCTCAAACAAGTGCATAGAGACGATGGGAGGACTAAGGGGGTCGTAAAAAACATGAGAAACTTCTGGTTCCCAGAGAACAACTAACATGAAATACAAAGAGAGCATGGGAAGAGAGGAGGACTAAGAGAGAAGGGTGAAGTGGGAGAGAAGAGATCCAGTGGGGGAGAGAGAGAGAGAGAGATGTCGGCCACAGAGAAACACTTCCCTGTAATTAGGGTCAACGGTGTGAGGTCAGGTCAACTCTCAGTGTGTGGGTGAATGTTCACAAAGATACCAAGAGTCAAAAGGAATACACGGGTGAGTGTGTTAAACAAAGGATAAAAATAACATTTCAAAGGCCAGAAAAGCAGGAATAATAACTGACCAGGGGAAAGCTCCTTTCAATGCAATATTTGCCTTCAAATACCTCTCCTTCCCTTCTTCCTCTGGAGCAATTTAACTAATTCTCTCCATCACTCTCCTCCCGTCTCCTCCGTTGCTCTCTCTTTCAAACACACACACACACATACAGGACGCACACACACAGACAGAGCCTCTGGTTTTGAATGAATGGAGCTCGTTGTATGTCTGCTACAGCTGTGTAATCACACTGATGAAGGGTTTGTTCTACACACACATAGAAAGACACACACGTCGGATACTTTAACATACATGAACAAACGCACACACACTCTGTTAAACATAAGAATACTGTATATATCTGGGCAGATTTGTGGCATTTCAGGAAGCATTGATGGGAAGTTACTGTTTTACACACACATGCACACACCTACGCACGCACACAAACTAAATGAGTTGGCTAATTGTGTGTGATGTAATCCTGGGTGGTCTATGGGCTCTTGGTGGCCTCTACATGTCGGTCAGTGAAGCCGAGCCTGCTCTGCCCAGACCTCCATCCACACACATCACATTTAAAGACACATAATCATCACATACGGTATTTACTCGACATATTCTTGGAAACTAAATGTGTGTCTTCTGTCGATCAAAATAGAAAATCTTGATTTTTCTATTTTTTTGGAGCCAATAAAAGATTGAAGTAGCAGGGTGGCCTATGTTTGGTCAAGCAGTTTTGGGAGCATCACATTGGGTCATGAGTTCAATCCTAGCAACATGTAGGAGTCGTACATGCTGTCAGTCAGGTCCCATCGACACTCACTTGCAAGCACACAGAAAACCATGTGACTTTTTATACATACTTTGATGTTTAGCATTTTTCAAAATTCTGATCTTGTGACACATTTTGAAAGGTACGATTCTTTAAATATCGTTTTTCCTGAAAAACGAGTGTTTCAACCTCAATCATGCCTTCATTGTAAAATAACAGTTAAAGCCACACTGCAACCTAACACGTGTTTACATGCAGTGAGTCAATTAACAGAATTGTCCCGTGCCTCCAGCCTTATTTTGGAACCATATCTTAATTACTGTGCTTTAAGTGTGTTATTGCTTTACGATGCCCCTCTTTTTAACTGTTCAACTGACTTAGAGGAGACATACCGTAGACCTCTAGAAGCCAGTGACGTTTTCAGTTTAACTCTGAATTTTAAGTAGATTTTTCACAAAAGCATCACTTCCAATTGTTCCTTATGTCTCTTTGTATTGCTGGCAATACTTATGCTTTCTGATGTATGCTCTCATGTTAAAACACTGATTCAAACCCTAACATATATTTATACATGACCAAGAAATCAGGTTTCACAAAAATCTAGCCTGAGCTAACTGAGTTTATCTAATTCTTTAACTAAAAATTGTCACGCCCATGGCCCTGTCTCTCACTTGTCTGTCCTTGTGTTCCCCACTTCTCCTGCGTCTTCCTGGTCCCCAGTTTGCCTCTGTGTGCTAGATTGTTGTGTCAACGTCTGTGGAAGCTGCATTTAAGTCTCTGCTTAGACATCTTTGTGAATAGTTTTACCCGTCTTCTGGTAACCTGACTTAATGCTCATCTGTTTCCCGTGCTCCAGGATTCCTGTTGGCCTGTTTTCCAGTTTAGCTGCTTGCCATCCTACTCTCCACAGCCATTCTCCATTCCACCTCTGCCGTCTCCAGCCTTCTCCCCTCTCCGTCTGCACTAACATTACAATAAACCTGTTATCTCAGTGTCAGTGTCCTGTGATTGGGTCCTCCTTACTACATCACAACACAATTTAAGAAATATGTTTCCTGCATGAAGCCACAGGACGCACGCTAAAGTGCAGTGGAAAACACAAATGTCTTTGAGCTATGCTGAGTGTGACACTAAGCCAGTCAGAAAGGGTTTAAAACAAACAGATTTTGAGGGTGTGATCTCGCCACAGGGCAGGTCCAAAAGAAGGAGTGTTGCACCTATTGTAACATGTTATCAGTTTATACGTGGTGTTTCTGTCTTGTGATGAGTCCCATGACTTCAGTGGATTAAAAGGTAGTATTGTGTTGTGCTGGGAAGGAGCACACAGTCCTCCACGAGGAGATCCTCAGCCCTCTTATTCATCTCTGTGTGCAATGAATGTCTATAATGAGTGTTTTTTAAAAGGATGTAATGGATTAGGATTCAGTCAGTTTGGTCAATAAGCATGGTCTTATTATTTCCCGGTATAGGATATCTAATGCACTAATACACAGTTTAGTTGGTGTGAAGAGACTCACAGTGATATCCTTGCCAGCCCAGTTACACTCCTCCCTCCAGTCGACGGGAGCGGGCCAGTAGATCTGAAACACAACAGCCAAAGATCAAATGATTCTGGAGCTGAAATATGAATTAATCATCTGGATGGTTGATGTACGTTCTGATAAAATATATAAAACTTTTACACTAAAAACAACACGTTTGTTCCCTTTAAGAATAATATGCCCCGGAGCATAGCACAGTTCAAATGAGACACCTCCCCATCCTCCCTTCTCATTGTGAAGAAGGATGACCCCACCACATTGAAAAACAACTTCAGCTACTCTTCACACCCAGGTCATAAATCAAACTCACCCATAAACCCCAAACAAAAAGAGGCTTCACATCTAACGCAGCAAGTACGTACATGCAATTTACTCCAAACAGCTGTGAACAGATGTTTGTAGTGGGCTGTATTTATATCTATGGTTCTCTATGCATTTAAGTGCACTCATTGTTTTTCTTGAGTGTACATTTTGGTATAAATGTGTGTCTGCGCCAATGTGTATTTAAGTGTGCCTTGGCTATGACTACATACTCGAAAGGTAAAGGTTTCAATCAACGCATGTCATTCCAGATATCAATCACAATGTTTTTTTGGTATAAATTCTCTCTTTTCATCTCTGTCCACCTCTTTGATTTTCTACCTTTCTCTATCAATCCCACATTTATCTTTCTTCTGTTGTTAGACATGAAGCCGCTCACTTGAGTGGTCACATACTGTATGTGCAAGAATAGGATTCAGTCATTTTCAAAAGGAGCATATTGGTAAAAAGTGTCCACAGTTAAATATCTCTCTTTCCTCCATGCCTTTAGGTTCACATGAAAACAAACCCATAACACATGTGTGGCTTGATAACGGTAACAAATGATTCTTAGGAATCAGACATTATGGCACTGGTTGTAAATAAAAAAACACTTCCTGATTTCCATCCAATGTCAATATAATCCCCTCTATCTAGTTTGTCGTTAATGCAAACTGAAGTAATAAAGTCATTTTAAGATAAGAGGCAGATATGGTCAGAGCACAAAGCAGAAGTAAAGTAATAACTGCCATGTTTTAGAGACATAACAAGCTAAGCTCATGAGAATTGTAAACACATTGTAGTCCATTAACACAATGTTGAATAAATCAAAAAGTTAAAACCTCAGCAAAGTAATGGCTATGTCATCAATCACCAAACCTTCCATCCTTTCACATGTTTTATGGTTTTATTCTGCTTTGACATGTCATCTGTCCAGCAAAAATAGGTCCTGAATTACTGTTGTTTCTAACAGATTTTTGTTCTGACCAACCTTGTGTTCCTGCTTGGCGATGTTGTCTAGTGACAGTGACAGCAGGAAGTTCTTGGCCCCAACGAAGAGGCGGCCTCGTTCTTCATCCAACAGCAGAGCGCTGAAGCAGCACGAACGCTCCAGCTCGAACCTCCGCACTCCATGGAACTGCTGCAACTCTAGAATTGCACAGATATACAGGACAACCGCTTCCGGTTCAGCATCTGTTTATTGGTCCTCTGTTACTTCCATATATACAGAAATAGACACCTTCAATCAAAACTGAGATAGCTATGCAAGAGTCCAGTCAGAGTTCTAAAATGTATGAAGCATTATCAGACTGTTGAGTTAACAACAAAATGTATATCGTGCTGTCAATAGTAAAAATAAATGTATGTATGGCCATTATCCGTGTGCTCATTTTTTGGGGGTAAGTCTTCAAAAAAGTTACAAGTAAAAGTTAACAATGTCCTAAGACTAAAGACGTTGTGACCAAAGTTGCAATACCAAAACAACCTCAAATCATCAGTCTGCAGATCAGTTGATTGCCCACGGGGCTGCAACAAGTCATCTGGTTGATAAAGAAGATTACTTCCTAAGCCTTTAACTGGGATGTCTCCTAGGTCCCGTGACTTGTAGGACAAACTCCTCTGACAGCAATGACACTATTGGTTTCAATGGAAAAAGTGAGTGTCCTTGCTGTTTTCAAACTGGCAAGAACAAATTCTGGGGGAACAGTGCCCAGGAAAATTCAGCTTATATTTGTAAACTTAAGCTATAATAGTTACCCCAAGTCATGGGAAAAAAAACTGTGTTCTCCGTCTGAGAAGCTGAAGAAATAAAGGGACTGCATCCTCCCCTGATGGACTGCGCTTAAACCAGAAGCTAAAAAAAAAAACAAGTCCTCTTTGCTCAGACTTTAAAAGGGCTTTATTAGTCTGCCATTGTTCTAATTTACAACTTTTATTAAGACTCTGACGCCACCCAACAGCTGCCTGCATGACATCAGGGACTCTAGGTCTACTGCTCTTGTTTTATATTTATGTGCCATTTTTAGCAAATGTGTTTATTATTCAGCTCCAACATGTTGTGATGATAATAACATGAGGCCCAAAGAAGACACCAACTGCACCTCACCTTTTACTAGCTTATCACAAAAGGCATCACAGCAAAACCGTTCACCAGTCAGACATTACTGGATACTCTACTGGATAAATAAGCAGAGGGCTGCTGTTGACTACGTTCTTCTTACCTGCAGGCTACATTAAATCAAAAGTAATTTCAGTAATACATGAGGTCATCAAGATCTCGTTCAGTCCTTCTTGTGTCTACTGAAACTAAAATAGTCTGCTGTCTCTCCATCCTGTGTGCTACATGTTACTGTCAGCCTAAATTAAAGGGAGCACATATCTCAGCTGGGCAGACGGCCTTCAGCGAGCCTCGTGTCCTTGGTGAGTTCCTTCAGGCTGTAAGTGCCAGCTTTCAATGATGGAACACATCCCTGGTTTATGTGGTTGTTTTGGGCATTGAGCTGACTTCTTCTAACTTACAATGCTCGAGATAAAACACAAAACCCCGCCATCGTGTATTTAAGCTGTGTGTGTGTGTGTGTGTGTGTGTGTGTATTTGTTTGTGTGTGGCTGTTAATCACACCCACCACAAATTACAGCTGGCTGCTGTTTAGGGCTGTTTACTTTGAAAAGGATATTGCGGAAGCTCACATGATGCGTGAGAAAGTGTGTGTGTGTGTGTGTGTGTGTGTGTGTGTGTGTGTGTGTGGGTGTGTGTGTGTGTGTGTCCACGTACTGCACACAAAATAACGTATACATTATGTGCAGTAGGCAAGACAAAAACTCCAGAGTATACAAGATAAATGTCCCTTCTTTCCTCCTCAAAGCTTTGCATCTTACCTTTGTATGATAGCTTCATGCGTGGTGAGGAAGAGGGGGAGGAGGAGGAGGAGGAGGATGAAGATGTAGTGGAAGTGCGGGTTATGGTGCCGGAGGAAGCATGGGCGGCAGCCAGACCCAGCAGGAAAAGAGAGCTGCAGGTGACCATCATGGCCACCGTCATCATCATCATGGTCATCATCTTGGCTCGCTCAGAGCAAACTCTTTCCTTTCAAAGTTTGAGAATGCGAAGTGACTTTATCGTGGTATTCAGCTTATATTCCTCTTAACATTAATGCCCAATGTTCGTTTTATTATTTTATTTCATTAGAGTCTGGTTCAGATTTAGAGCAAAATCAAATCCTTTTTTGTCCGTATATTAAATGCAGTTCACCTGCCTTGGTTTGGGCTTCGGTCCAGTATCAGCTCAGCTCTCTAAGCCCAAAACAGTGTCTCTGTCTTGGTGTTTGCTTAAGCAGAGCTTTTTCTCTCCCTGGCTTCCTCTCAAGATCTTAATATTCAGCGTAATCTTTATAACGCCCTCCTTGTTTCTAAAGAGTCTCTCTTGGCAGATTCGATGCTCCTCTCATGAAGGACGACCAAGTTCACCTCTCACCTCCAAGACGGGACAAAAACGTCATACATGGGCATAGAGACCTAAAAATAGAGACAGAAAGGCAGAGGATTTAGAAATGGACACTACCAGCAGTCATTTGCATGTGCCAGGGATGCCCCTGCACACACACACACACACACACACACACACACTAGCACATGAGCATTGAGCACTGAGGTATATTTAGTCAGAGTCAGATTGATGCCCCTGCCAGGCTGTGTTAGCGCCAGCCTCCATTATGGCAACAACAGTATAGTCTCTTCACATTAGAAAGAGACCCAGGGACAGTATCCAAAACACACACACTGACCATGATGATGAAGACTGTGTGTGTGTGTGATAGAGATATGCCATGTCCACTGCCAAGCCAAGCGCAATCTCCTCCTGTCTGTGGCACTGCCAACTCAAAGTGGCTTGCCCCTCTTTCTCTTTCTCCCTCGCTCTCCCCTCGCTCTCTCTGCCTCCACACTGGTGTCACCAGATGAGATCTCCTTATTGCTGAGGACACGATGAGCCAACAGTGACGTTGGATGGATGTACAGTATGAATGCATGAGAGCATTGGTGCTCAACACAAAGTTGCTTGTGAGCGAGTCCAGCAACACAAAGCAAAAAAAAACAAAACTGTTTGCTTTTGTAATAAGATTTAGTGCCAATATTGAATTAAACAGTAGTAGATCAATTACATTACAACTTATTTAAAGCTTCAAAATGTTGGCTTTTATAACCGTCTTTACACACGGCTTCTATAATGTGCAGTTTCTCTGTTTCGGAGTGTGTGGGGACTTTCTGTCAATTGAGCATTGTCACGGAGTATACAGAAAAATAATCTCTATGAAGTAATTTGAGAACTCTGAGTCAGATTTAGAGTGACAGATTTGTTATTGTTGTGGAAAAATCCCCAATAACTTTGTGCCTCGCTTCTGAGTGTGTCAAACCACAACTCTACCACAGCAGGAGCAGGAATGAGGTCACTGGTTTGCAAGCCTACACGTATATGAATGTAGTGTAGTCAAAAGTGTGCACTGGACAGACACACACACACACACACGCCTCTCTTTCAGTACTTTGGACTCTGCGGTCGGCCGTAACAATAAGGCCTTTCAGTAGAAACAGTCTCCTTTATTATATTACACCTCACAGTTGGCACTCTGTCAGTAGCAGGCAGACAGTCTGCTTTCCCCCACTTTTCACTTTCAATCTTTGCTTCTTCTCCCCCTCCCGACAACTGGATCCGATTGCAATGACTGGGGCAATATCTGGAATAGAATAACAGTTATTAACTTTCTTTATATGTCTTATAAGAAGCTTCAAAATGGCCTAAGGAAGCCTGTGTGGACAAAACAGGCCCACTGTCCCCGAGAACATTTCCAAACCTTGCAGCCATATATGGACCAGACTCAAGTAGCATAAGAACAAAGAACATAGCCGAGTGCGTCAACTACCAGCTGCTCTTATCCCGACTCAGTTGGCGATGTGGTGGACCTCTAGTTTAAGGTAACACGAGAAGTCTTTGTAGTCTTACAAGAATAACTGCAAAGTACAAAGTGGATCTTCAAGACTCTGCAGATTTTCATTATAGCAAAATATATATTAAATATATCTATGTATAATTTGGTGACCAGAGTTGAAGTTTGATGGACATCCTGGTCAGTGAGGATGAAGATGGGTGAAGTGTGACTTTGACGCACGTCATCATCTCAACCGTCTTTAAAGCACGCTGAATTAAAAAAAATTCACCTCATTCATTTTAGGCTTTTTAAAGATTTTTTTTTTATTCTGGCGCAAGTACTGCTGAAATCTGTGGTGATCACTTTTAAGCACGCATGTGCTTACTGAAATACAGAAAGATGCAGTATACACACAGATTGAAGTCACACGCACACACACACACACACACACACACACACACACACACAGAGACAGACCCGTCAAGGCTATTGGCACAGAGTTTTATGAATAATGGAGCTATTGAGGCGTGAAGACAGGAGAGCTCTCATAAGCTCATGGCTCCCAGGCCACAACACAACAGGACAGAGCTGAGCAGGAACATAAACTCCCACATAACCTGCAGTATGTAAACACACACACACACACACACACACACACACACACACACACACATGAATGGACAAATGCACACACA